ATCGATAGATAGATAGATAGATAGATAGATAGATAATAGATCGATAGATAGATAGATAGATAGATAGATAGATAGATAGATAGATAGAATGGATTTTCCGCTCGGCCGGTCAGGTAATCCCTCCACATGCCACGCGCCTCCTCTGTTGGGATAATTGGAGGGACATCTAATACCCGGACGGCGTTTTATCCCTGAGTTTGCCTCTGATGTCACGGAAGGATTATCTGTAACTCTCAGTAATCAGCGGATCTCACGGAAGGATCTTATACTGGGCTTGGAGTGGAGAAGGGAGGCCGGACCTTTTTTTTTTTCCAGTTCTCTTTTGGGTAACAGAAGTATATTTACTAATAAAGTTCTGTGATACAAAGTCGGGTGATATCGGGCTGCTGGCTGCCATCAGCTGACAGCGCAGAGCCGGGGGGAGGATCCTGACAATAGCTGGCTGCCTAAGTGACAGCTGGCTCCGCCTCTCTATAGCTAGCCATGCCCGCCCCCTCCTCTGTCTGTCCATCCAATGAGTGTTGGTGGACAGAGAGGGGAGGGGCCAATCCCTGACAGCCACTGCTCTCTGCAGGGAGAAGAGACGGAGAGCTGAGCGGCCAGTGGTCACGTGATCACTCAGCTCCCAGTGTTAGAGCCGACGTGTAACACTTCTCCTTTTGGGGGGAACTCCCGGCAGACCAAGAGCAACAATGTAACAACATAACAATGTATCCTCGCTCGGGGTCAGCGACTCAAAGTATTAAAGCCTTAGGATCGGCATGTCAGCCAGGATCCTGGCATTGTCTGAAGGACAGCTCACCAATGGCATTGTCCTGTAATCGGTAATCCTATAAAAACATGGTGATTGTAGCCAAGAACTCTGAAGCTGCCAGCGTATGATCCCATCACCTCTGTGGGTGGGACGACATTGTACAATCAGATTGTAAGGTGTGTGGCCACTTTAAGGAGATTGTTCAATCAGATTGTAAGGTGTGTGGCCACTTTAAGGAGATTGTTCAATCAGATTGTAAGGTGTGTGGCCACTTTAAAGAGATCGTACAATCAGATTGTAAGGTGTGTGGCCACTTTAAGGAGATTGTACAATCAGAGGGGTCTCATTTCGGCTGTGATCTCCTCTCTGTAGATCTCAGGTGCTGAGGGTGTGAGCGGCCTGGGATATAATATGTGTGTATTTTGGTGGGAGTTTCTGTTTTTCTGGCCACTTGGTTTCGGTTTCCCAGAGTCAGCCCGGAGTCCTGAGAAAAGTCTGTTTGTTATCACATTGTCCACACGCAGGCGACAGATCGTGTTTCTGATCCGGCCTGCGAATGTCTTGCTGAAGTGGAGGGTAAATATGTACCTGGAGATTACGATGATTGACTCCGCCGCAAACCGCGTCATGTCCTGACACTTACACAGCGACAACATGTCACAATGCGGGCTCTGCGGACCGAGCCAATCTGTGTCCCATTGTTCCGCACAGGTGTATACCGCTACTCCAGATCCATAGATTCTGATTGGTGTAAATGAGGGGGTTTGGGGTAGAATAGGGGGACAGAGGGGGGATTGGGGTATAATAGAGGGACAGGGGGGGGGATTGGGGTACAATAGAGGGACAGAGGGAGGACTAGGGAACAATAGAGGGACAGAGGGGGGATTGGGGTACAATAGGTACAATAGAGGCACAGAGGGGGGATTGGGGTATAATGGAGGGACAGAGGGGGGATTGGGGTACAATAGAGGGACAGAGAGAGGATTGGGGTACAATAGAGGGACAGAGAGAGGATTGGGGTACAATAGAGGGACAGAGGTGGGATTGGGGTATAATAGAGGGACAGAGGGGGGGATTGGGGTAGAATAGAGGGACAGAGAGAGGATTGGGGTACAATAGAGGGACAGAGGTGGGATTGGGGTATAATAGAGGGACAGAGGGGGGGATTGGGGTAGAATAGAGGGACAGAGAGAGGATTGGGGTACAATAGAGGGACAGAGGTGGGATTGGGGTATAATAGAGGGACAGAGGGGGGGATTGGGGTAGAATAGAGGGACAGAGAGAGGATTGGGGTACAATAGAGGGACAGAGGTGGGATTGGGGTATAATAGAGGGACAGAGGGGGGGATTGGGGTACAATAGAGGGACAGAGAGAGGATTGGGGTACAATAGAGGGACAGATGGGGTATTGGGGTACAACAGAGGGGGATGAGGGTACAATAGAAGGACAGAGGAGGGATAGGGGGATACTGAGAACAATGACGGGAATATTGGAGTACAATAGAGGGACAGAGGGGTATTAGGGTGCACTAGAGGAACAGAGGAAGGATTTGGGTATAAGAGAGGGACAGAGATGATTGGGGTACAATAGATGGACAGAGGGGGCATTTGGGGTTCATTAGAGGGACAGAGGAGTTAGGGATGCAATATAGAGATGGGGAAAGATTGAAG